GGAAGAGGAAGGAAGAAAGGAAGGAGGAATTCCAGAATTTTTCCTACAATGTTTATTCTTTTACAGCAAAGCGAAGGGAAGGGATTTGGATGAAGAGTAGTGAAGTTGAAGCTGCTGTGGATTTAAAGCCGGGAGAGATTTGGGTGTCTGGACTGACAGGCAGTTCCAGAGTCCCAGGGGTCAGTCTAGATGGTCTCCAACGCCCCCTCACAAGAAACAGAGGCCTTCAAAGGAAAGCCAGAGGTGTCTCAGCAGGAAAAGCTCCAGGTTGCCATTCTCCTCCTCCCCCCAATTTAAAATCTTGACCCTCCATTTTTCAGAAGATGCAAAAAAGAGACAGAAATTCATCAGCTAATGGAAAAAAGCCCCTTCCTTTCCCACCAGGAAGCAGGAAGGATGGCAGGATTAATTCATGAGTGCTGTAGAAAAAAAGAGATGGGGAGAAAATTAGAAAATAAAGTGAAGCCAGTGTAAATAGCTTATTATTCCTCCCTTTCAGCCACCCCCCCAGACAGGCCCACATTGCAGGGGAGTGGTTGTTAGGTAGGAACAAAGTGAGGGAGTGTCCCCCCCCTTTTTTCAAAGTGGAAAAGGATGCAAAGGACCAGCAATTCATCTCCAGAGGCTTATGGAATTTTTCCCAATTGACTTAATTGGGGGGGTTAATCAAGAGAGGAGGCTTCCCCCCCCCACACGTTTCATATTAACAAAGAAGATGGGGCCAGGATGGGGAGTGGTAGCAAAGCTGGGTGTCGCTTTCCCAGAAATTGTGTGAAATGTCACAAGGAGACTTCCCTTCCCTTTTGCAATTTCCCAAAACCTGGAAACCTCCTGGGCCAGATTTTAGTGTTTGTGTGTGTGTTTGTTTTTGATTGCACTGTTTTCAGGTCTCTGTAATGAAAAGCTGCCCAAAATTTCAAAAAATTGTGTTATCCACAGCAAGGAGGTATTGTTCAGGCACATTAAAAAAAAAAAAAGAACAATTAACGAATGTTAAAGAAACATCTATCACTTGAGGAGAAACTCACCTGCAGGAGGCTGGATGGGAGTTGCTGAAAGGAGAAAAAGAGCCAATCAGGACCCTTCATGGGCTGGAGGACTCAGAATATCCACCTACCCATTGACAGCCCATAATAGGTTGCAGGATGCTCACTTATACAGTAGACTCTCAGAGAAGAGAATTTCCCAAGCAAATTTCCCAGGGGAGCCTCCTTGCCATCTGCTAAGCTTGCTGAGAGGCCTCCCCTGGATGGTCCCCTCCCCACAACCTCTCATCCAGCCCCATAGATTCACCTTTCTTGCTCTTCAGGTAGAGGAAGAGCCCCATGGTGAAGAAGATCACCCCGATCACGGCTGACACGATCCCCGTCCAGAGT